AATTTAACTAAATCTATTAGAAAACAAGTCTGTCATTTGATCTGTGAATTTAATTTATCATAAAGATAAGTCTATGAATGTTTTAATCAACACAAGTCTACCATTCTAAATAACTTTATGGACATATTGATAAGTCTGTAACAGTTTTAATAAATTTGTGAAGAAAATCTGCATTCAAAATAAATCAGTAAAAAAAAACAAATCTGTTGTTTCATACAATAGACTTATTAACAAAAATCTGTCATTCTAAATAAGTCTATAAATGTTTTAATAAGCCTATGACAGTTTTAATAAATTTGTTAATAAAATTAGGCATTCAAACTAAATCTGTGAGGAAAAACAAATCTGTTATTTCATGCAATAGATTTATCAACACAAATATGTCATTTTAAATAAGTCTATGCCTATAGAATCACACTTTAAAAAATAGAATCACATTTTAAAAAAAATTAAAATTCCTCCAACTTCTCTTCCAAAAACCTGTTGTGATAACAAATGCGATAACAAAAACCGCTTTTCTATTGCCGATAATCTCCGGCCGACGTCGGCTGTACTCTTCTATTCAATCATTTGTAGTTTATTAAGTTTATCTTTCAATAAAATCTGAAACACATGAAGATTTATTTGTGGTTTAATCTTCAAATCTTCAATTCCCTAATTTCTTTTAGAGAGCGAGTTTGTCCGACCATAATCCACCGATTATCCTCTACAAATTGTGTCGGTTTCTTTCCGTGGGTAATCTATCCATACGGTTTTTGTCGGTTCATTATTTTAACCGTTTGGATTTGGGATCCGAGTCGTTCTTTACTGCATTACAGAGGCGTAGTGTTTCTTCCGCTAAACATTAAAGAAGGAGAAGAATTGTTTGTGCAATCATGGAAACCGCCATGGCAATCAGTATGGAAGAGACAACGATTCAATGTTAAAGACAACCGTATGCAGCCACCAATAAATTGTTTGGATAACAAAGTGAACGAGATCTATCTTGTTCAGTTTTGGGCACAACTTGTGGAAGGGTCAAAGTCACAGTTTCTTCTATTCACATTGATACGAAATGATTGGTATCGATTTGTTTACTTGTCAGAACCATCAATAGAAACAATGGGTTTATTAATGCGATGTGCATTTAGAAGTCTCGATGAAACAAAGAAGACCAAGCACAACATCTGAATAAAAAGATCGATTACCAATAAGGAACTTAACAGATCTAATAATCTGTTTGCGAATAAGACTTCAATAAAAAAACATCGTTAATTCACTTGTTTGTTTTAATCGTCTTCATCAAAGGGCGCATATATCTCATGTAATATTTTGTTTTTGTGGTTCTGTAATGACTTTGTATGATTTGATTTGATATCAATGAATGTGTTTCGACAAAAAAATAATTAAATAAATAAATAAGTTTATGCCTCTTTTAGTAAATTTATTACAATAGATATTTTATTTTATGAATTTTTTATTAAAAAAATAATAATAATAATGGCATATATGTAAATATATTGGTAGACCAACAGACTGAAACTCATGTCTGCTAGAAACTTTGGAAGATTTTCACCAAATCTGTCAAAACTCTGGAGAGTTCGCCAAAAATAGGAAAAGTCTGAGAGAATGATAGACTAATAGACTGAAACTCAAGTCTGCCAGAAACTTGGAAAAATTTCCACCGAATCTGCTAAAACTCTAGAAAATCTGTCAAAAATTAAAGAGTCTACCAAAAAATTTGAAAAAAAAATCCAACTTTCAAAAAATACTATTACATTTTCTTTTCCTAAACATTTTCTATTTTTTTCAAAACCAATAGATTGTTGGGTTTATGTGTTTCTTCAATCAAAATTTATGTCTTTTGTTAATTATACTTGTATTTATTAATTAATTTATTTTTGTTTTTACATATTAATTTATAATATTTATCTGCCCAAATAAATAAAATAAATTATATATTTAAAGGTATTAAAGAAAAAATATTTATGGAAATCTTATAGATAGATTATTTTGGTTATTGTAAATATTTTAGAGAATTTGTAATAGATAACCATATTAGAATGCAATATTGGTGATCTAACTATATCGGAGCATGATCATAATATTCTCTGTACTTTATGTAATATTCCCCAAATTGACTCTGTCATCTCTCCTCTCTCTCCCTTTATCTCATGTCTTTCATCATTCTTTCAATTTTCTTTTTATTTTCAATTTATTGTTTCATCTCTTTCTTCACTACTCTTATAATCCATATATGTGAAAGAATTTATTGTTATACTATTTTTTATATATCGCAGCTATACAACACAATATATATGATGATGGTTCTATATTCATTCATTATAATATTGTAAATTTTCTACAAATGACACTTTTATCACGCACTGTCCAATTGGGATGGTTGAAACTTGTAGTCAGAATAGTTGAACTATTTTAATATTGTCTAGTGGGCAGAGAAATGGTATTCTATATGCAACATGCATGTATTATAGATGGGTTTATCTCTCATTCGGTTTGTATATCAGATAACAGTGTAACGCTTACAATGGATAGAGTCTAAAGGGATTTGGGCATAACTAAAAAGAGTTTTGGGTATAGTTTGTAGTGGTTTGGATTTAGTTTCAAATAAGTGTATATATACATAGTAACATTGGTTTAATCTTATGGGGTTTGGGTATAGTAAGTAGTCGCTTGGATTTAGTTTTTAAATATGTGAATTTATTCTATATATTTTAATAACTTTGGTTTATATTCGGAGATTTGGGTATAATAAATAGTGGTTTGTTTTTAGTTTTAAAATATGTGAGACTTTTTCGCGTAACAAGTTTATACTATTTTACAAGATAAAATAGTATTGGACAAAAGACAAAATAGTAAAGACATTATAGACTAACTTGTTAATCATGTGAGATTTTTTCCGCGTAACAATTTTATACTATACTACCAGTTTTATTGACAAACTTCATGATTTCTCACTTAATTAATTCAAAATTTCCCCACTCAACCATTTTATGCGATGAGGGTTTAGATACGAGTTTTTGGGTGTCATAATTAATGTCTTAAGTTTAGTTTAAAAAATTTTGGATTTATTTTGAAGATCTATAGGTTGATCACATATAAATATTATTCTATATGTTTATTTGTGTAGTATAGATAGACTTATCTCTCTTTTAGTTTGTATATAACAGAGTAATACTTACAATATAATATGTAGTGATTTAGATTTAATTTTAAAATATATAGATTTATTTTTGAGTAATTGCAATAGATGGACCTAGATAATAAGTAAATTAAGTAGATAGCTCTGACAACTTTTCGATGCATCTGTTCATTTCAGAATGACATATCTACCCAACAAAATCTCAACCCCATAATTATTAGCTATTCATAATCGACAGCAAAATCCGAATGAAGTTTATATTTGATTTTCTCTTTTCACCTCTCTCCGCTATCACCAATTTTTTTATGTCTTCATCTTTCTCTGCCATTACCAGTTCTTTCAAGATCACTTTCTTATTATGTCTTTAATTTCTTTACGAATTTATTTATGTGTCTCTCTCTTATATAAATTTTGAAATTGGTAATGGTGATGGTGGTGGGTGGGTGGGAATAATGATAAAAGACGATGATGGTGGTGTTGTCGAAAGTGGCAATGGTGATGGTTATTGGTGGTAGTGGTGTTTTTATATGGGGGTGGTGGTCGATGGAGTCGCTAGTGGTTGCGATGGTGGTGGTGGTGGTGGTGGTGGTGGTCGATGATGGGATGGTGTTGGTGGTGGTGTTGGTGATGGTCGGTTGTGGCGAAAGTGTTGTCGGTAGTGGTGGTGATGGAATCACCGATGGTGGTGGTGGTGGTGGTGATCGATGATGGGGTGGTGTTGGTGATGGTCGGTGGTGGTGTTGGTGATGGTCGGTGGTGGCGAAAGTGTTGTCGGTAGTGGTGGTGATGGAGTCACCGGTGGTGGTGGTGATCGATGATGGGGTGGTGTTTGTGATAGTCAATGATGTGATGGTGATAGTCGGTGGCGTAAAAGATGGTGATATCAACTTTAACACGATAGTTATATGCTCACAACGTTAGTATGATAATTTGTTGATATGATAACATTGTTAACATGATAATTTTGCATAACTTATACATTAATTTTTATTTTTCATGAAATAATAGCAATATTAACACAATAGTTATCATGTTAACTATTGTACAATGTGCTAATTGAGCATCATATTAGTTAACATAGTTAACACAATTAACATGATAATTATTGTGTTAACGTGCTATTATTTCAATATGCTAATGGAGCATCATATTAGTTAGCATAGTTAATACAGTTATCACGATATCATATTAGTTAGCATGATAATTAAATTAGCATCTACCAAACCGCATCAAATAATTATAAGGATAAAATAGTCATAATTTCTATATATAATATGTATCAACCTAATTTTTAATTATTAGCTTTATTTTCTTAATTTTACTATTATTATTTACTAAATTTTCCTGTTATTTTTAGTTGTTGAATTAAAATTTACTGTAAATAATATCATATGAAACAAGAATCTCAAGTAATTTCAAAATTGAAGTCTGATAAAATAGTAACGAGTTTTTATTTTCAACTCGAGATAGTTATATACTATTTTTTATCATACTATAAAATGTTACTCCTATTTTGTTATATTTATATTGAACTGTGTTACTATTCAAATCATATTATATGCACAAAAATATATATTTTATTGTGGTAATGAAAGATTTAGGTAAATATTAGTATGAAATTAAGATAACAAATAAAATTGAATCGAATAATTATGTTAGTGAGCATAAGAAAACAATTTAATACACAACATTCATTCTCTCTCTTCTTCATAGGCCACGTGCAAACATTAGTAAAAAATGGATATTTTAGTCTAAAAAATATTGTCATGGTTACTTCCTACATTTATAAATGACTATTGTTATATTTTTTATTTTGTGTCCTAATATGGTTAGTTAGCTGGTTTATGGGTGGAGTCAGTCAGCGAAAGTCCTCGATTAATATCAACAAGATGTCGAAAAGACCCTATTTTAGAGTCATGGTAACAAAAACCACCCTTTAAATTTTCGAATTGCATAAAAAGTCAAAATTCCTGTAGAATCTCACTCATAAAAAAAAACTGTACGAACAACAACATAATTCCGTAGTCCAAAAGGTTTCGAAAACAACTCCTAAACGACATAACCGACAGCAATCGTTTTCCTTCCACATCTTAGCACAAATCTTCCTAAGCGATGCGAGAATGCTTCCATGCAAATGGGACCATGGTCAACCTGCAAAGAAAAGAATTTCAGCTTTTGTTAGACCATAAAAATGGTTGCAAGAAAACAAAATAGCAATTATAACCTGTATACGGCATATAGCATCATCATCATCATCCGTGGCATACATCACTCCTACTCCAGGGGGTATCATCTCGGTTATCTCACATTCCTCTACCACCGCATGGGTGTGAAGAACGGCTTTGTAGCCAGCATAAAAAATAGTCTACATACAGAAGCAGCAAACAAATGAATAACGGTTTACACTAAAATATTGCTAAAAGGAAAGCTTTGACTTACATTTTGAGGCTGCTTCAGAAATTCTAGGTGGGCCAAAAACGTGTTTGCAGCACGAGTAGGTTGTACTGCAAAAGAAGACAAAGTCATGTGTATTACACAACAATTGGCGATGCAAATTATTGGAACATAACCTCTAATGAAGTCATACTCACCGAGGCTAGATAATACATAACTTGATACAATGTCCTCATCTTCAATGCCTCTTAGATAAACTATGAGACTGTCACGTGGTCCTGATTGATCAACTATATCCTCATCGCAATACAGAGCAATGACTTCAACAGGTACCTGGTTTGGCATAAGGCTCAAGAAATTACCCTCCCGAATGCAGCCAGATTCCACGTTACCCATGACAACAGTTTCCTCGTCTTTGTAATGTGAGAAAATAGGCATCCTACAAAAATAAAAACAATGCATAGAGATGTCATTGTCCACGAAAATGTTGAATTCACACAAGTGACAGGATTTTATGAATGCATTACCTGAATGGACCATTAGGATTCGCTAGCCGAACAAACTCAACAGAGTCAAGTGCTTCAAACAAGTTCGGGCCACGCCACCAAGGACAAACATCTTCATCCATGTCCTTGTCCATATTGATGCCAAGAAGACCAGGTATCGGCAAAAAGGCATCTTACACCAAAATAGTTAGAAGAGGATCGTAGTAAAATACCAATTAGAACAAGAGAAGGCGTTTATAGCATACTTATGGTTCCGCAGCGAAAGGATTCCAGAAACGGTAGCACTTCTTGTTTTATTTCATCGTACCTGATCAATATCAAGAAGATATGAAAATCATAGGGATTAAATGTAAAATAAGGTTTATGTAAATACCTGTCTTTCGACCACATGACGGTTGGATCATCCATCTTGTTCAAAACAACTCAGGCTCGACACACCCAACCCTCTGGCGATTTGAACATGTTCACGTGTCTGCCCGACCATCTCCATCTACAGAGAGAGACATGGGTTGGGTTGGGCAGTTAATAGGCTGCTGCTACAATAAAGAATGAGAAACACATTAACATATTACTACTGACTAACCTCCCCACCCTCTTGAAATCCTGTTTCAAATTCATCTCTCCTAGCCGAAATCACCTACACAAAGAGACGTGGGAAGATCAGTGAATAGGTTCCCTACGCATGCAACATCAAAGAATCAGAAGTGCATCTGACTAACCAGCACAGCAACATCTGCTGAGATGCTCCTATAATCATTTCCGGTACAAAGTCCCTGTGCCCCTACAAGTACAATAAGTAAAGTATAAGAGAAGAATTAGAAGTAAACTCAATAGTAAGGTGGTTTATATTAATTTGATACTAACCGGAACATCCAGAATCGTAAAGATACAACTACTAGTGTCAAACATTGCTTTTCCAACTTGAACCGTACCTTATCAAATGTATAAACATACCAAGTTGACAAACACAAGAAAATAACAAATGAATTAATCAAAACAGACAGAAGAGATACCCTGCGCCTCTCGTATTCATCTGTATCCATTGTATATGCCAAATAACTGCGCATACACAACAACAATAAGATAAGAGAAGCAAAAATTCAAAAAAAAAGGACATTTCTAACTGCAAACAGAATACTCACCAGCCTTCTCTGCTATTTTCTTTTGCTTCTTCCTTGTACTTTTGCATTTCTTGATCATCTACTTGACCAGTAAGAAGAAGAATCTGTCCTACAATGGTAGATTTTCCAGCCTCTGTAATGGAAAATGAAAAACTTATAACCAGTATAGCTCTTATGCAACCTGAACACAAAGTTGTTATACCTGAGTGCCCCAGGAATACCACTTTCAAGTGTCTCCTCTTGTTTGCTTCAGCTTCCTCTTCGGCAGCAGTTTCTACGTTCAGGCGTCTCCTTTTCCTCCTTTTCGTTTCAGCTTCCTCTTCGCTTCCCCTACCCCTCTTGAAAATCTCCGATCCTGACATCTTCAGTGAAACAAGAGCCAAACACAGAGAATAAGATTGAATCTTAAACCTGCATTAATCAGAGAAAGAAAAAGAAAAAGAGTAATTAGATTATCATCAAAAACATGAACACGTTAAGAAAAATAAACATGCATGATCAGAAAGCTAGTGTATCTTGTAACATAAAAACAAACATCATATACTGTACCACAGATCATGTAACAGGAACATAGTCAGTTCTTAAAACCAACATCACATACGAGGAAATCAACAGAATACTGTTCTTGTATCAAACAAACATCGATTCTACGCCCTAGATCAAACAGATGATCCATATTACACAATATCCTAGTCATAACTTCTGAAACAATAACTGGAAATCGAAGCACTGGATCAAACAGAGGATGCATATTACGATGAAATCCACAGAATACTGTTCTTGTATCAAACAAACATCGATTCTACGCCCTAGATCAAACAGATGATCCATATTACACAATATCCTAGTCATAACTTCTGAAACAATAACTGGAAATCGAAGCACTGGATCAAACAGAGGATGCATATTACGATGAAATCCACAGAATACTGTTCTTGTATCAAACAAACATCGATTCTACGCCCTAGATCAAACAGACGATCCATATTACACCATATCCTAGTCATAACTTCGGAAACAATAACTGGAAATCGAAGCAAACACCGATCGAAGCACTAGATCAAACAGACGATGCATATTACAATTACACAACTTAATCACAGTCTCTGCTACAAAAACTGGAAATCGCGTGCAATGCGTAGAAAATAGGGCGGAAATCACCAGAGAAGATGTCTGGAAGGACGCCAAATCCCTACCGATGAATGATTCGCAGACAGGATGAAGAACAAAGAACAAAATCCGATCGAGCGAGAGGAATGGAGGAAGATTGAGAGATCCTTACCGAAGATTGATTCGTAAGAAGATAAAAAACCGTGGATCAAGCAAAATCCGAACGAGACAGAGAGAGATTGAAGACGAACGACAGAGACTGTAGGGAGGTTTTGAGGAGGTTTTCTGTGAGTAGTGACATGTGAGCGAGGGCAGTTTCGACACTATACCAAAAGGGCATTTTCGACTTCGAAAGCCTTTATCCAATTATGATTCTGTATAGAGCACCGCTTAAACGTATTTTTGTTAATTTATCATTTACTTTTCCATTAATCATCTGTAACTTATTTTTTTTTAAATATCTACGTTTACAATCATTTAAGCATTTCGCATTCAAAAGTCAAAACTTTTTCGGGGGAAATTTAGATATTTTATTCTTTTTTTTGTCATTTTTCTCTCCTTCTAAAAATAAATAGACTTCCGACATTTTAGTGTAAAAACACAAATAATAATATAAAACTAATTTTGTAAAATAGTTATTTTTCAAATAAAATTCTTATTCGTTGTTGAACGTCTTTCAAATAATGTGCAGTTAATTATGTTTAGAGAATTAGGATTTTCTCAAACTTTGAATTATAGCAAAATATAACGTGATCGCATAAAAATATATTTAATATATATAAGTTGAGTTTTGATAATTAAAAAGATGAAAAAAGTTTTCTTTTATTTAGTTGATTAGGTCTAAAAGATTTTTCGATTTTCTTATTTTTGTTCTCTAGACGCAAAAAAAAAAACTGTTTACTTTAATTCCTTTTTTGGAGAATTAAGAGATAGAATAGCATATTAGCATGGATATATTCGTCAAATAGAGTATTTAAAAGAAAATAAACTACAGTTTGATCATTCGATTCATTTCGTTATTTCTTGATTTGAGAACCAAAAATCCCAACAATTGATAACAGAGTGACATGATTATGCAAAGATATTAAAAGAAAACAAAATACTAAAGGCGTTGTTAAAAACATATCTATCAACAATGAGTATTCTTACATAATCTCTAGGCAGTGTGTAATATATACACAGACAAGAATGAGATTTAGTCGATTGATTACAGAGTAGCTGCAGAGAAGAGCCCGTGTTGTAAATCGTGTTCTTTGTCTTGAGTTGAGGTAAACAGATCAATAATAAATTTAGTAACTCGTGGCTGTTGATTTTATGGTAAATCTAAGACGTTTATGGGTGGTTTTATCCAACCATTATCCCCAAAGAAGGAAGTTACATTGATGCAGTCTCTTAGTATACTGTGTACACTTACTCGTTGTCAAAACAGACGTGAAGCTCAAGTAAAAACCTCAAACTACCCAGCCTTTTCCTATATATCCGTCCACTTTCGCCTCCTCTCTATCCCCGATCCAGGCGACGGCGCCCCTTCTTTGCTGGAGGCCTTCTTTCTTTGCTTTTCTGCACTGTAACTTCCGTTTTGCCGTTCTGGCTCTTCCTGTAATAAGTTGTTCAACAACAACATTGTTCCCCCAAAAACAAAAAGGTATAAAAATTAACATTCATACCAAAAAAAATATGTCAGTTCTTTGAGGTCGTGTGGTTTTAAGACATTTAGGAGGCAATCGAGGAAGAAGATCCCAAGAATTTGTATAGAGATGAGAGATTTTCCAATACTATTGAAAACGTATGACTATACACTATTAATTAGGATGAGAGACTTCACCTGCTTAGATGTTGTTTGCATCCTTTGGCTTCTTATCTTTACTTACACGGACTAAACGAGGTAAACGTAGAAATATTCCCTTTTAACCAAACAAAATTGCAACAATCAGTGTATCATCAGATAGATTCAAACCAAAAAATGGAAAATAAGTAAAACTTATCAGGGACCACAATCCCCATAGCTGCACGATACTTAGGGCTAATTTCCATTTCAGAACCTTTCACTTCCTAGAACTTTTAAGCAATTAGTGTAAACTTTAGCTTCACACTTTGATTTATAAGATAGAATAAGACATTTGTAAGGGAACATAATCCTTACCTCAGTGGGCTCGAACCAAACATGTGGTTGACGCTAGCTATCGTTAACTCTGTAGTCTTGCTGGATAATTTTGGGTCATTACAATCAACAGGAACTCAGGCAAGAGTAGACATAGCTGATATTGCAGCAAAAGGAAAGAACGAAATATCATTCTTTTTCATTAGCAATCACCTTAGACGAAAAATTGGAATAAAGTTCTTTAAGCTCGGCTTCAGAAAATCCAGTACCTAGCTAGTAGAACAAAGAACATATAATAAAAAATCAAATGCATAAGACTAACCGGTTTTAAAAATGCTCCGGAACTCGTCTTTTTTCTTGTCGTAGCAAGCAAGTAAATATGAAGCAGATAAACCTACAAAGTGTCAAAATGTATTTTGAATGGTTTGTTTTCATTTGAACATTTTCCTTTGCCATGAAACGCACCAATAGGTACAAGATCCACAGAATCCCCAATGCTGCATATGTATATAACCCTAGAGTCAGTCAGTAAATTAAACTTTTCAAATAACCCTAGAGTCAGTCAGTAAATTAAACTTTTATAACAATTGCTTCAAATGAAACCAAAGCTTTGTGATTTAGTGATATATGTGTCTCACCTCTCGCCGGATATTCAGATTCTCCTGGGTAATTTGCTGCCCATTTAGATATAACTTGTCAAAAGCAAATATGCATACGCCAACCTTGATATCTGAAAAATAAAACAAAAAAATATATAAAAACCCTAGACACTTTTAATATCAGGACCTTGCTAATGAGTTACATGGAAGGGAAAAAATTTATTTTCCGCCGTGTCGAAAGCAACAACTGTGCAATCAAGAATAAAAGATTTTATAGAGGTTTTCATAAGTTTTGTCTCTTTCTACTGCTTTTTTCAACAAGAAGTTACACTCAAAAGTCTGCCTTTAACGAACGAGCAACATCAGGGTACTTGACAGTATTTCTTTCACCATTTCTACTGTATATCTAAAATATACCATCCTCCATATAATGTATCTGCGTAGTAATTGATTGAAGATATATAATTCTCTGCTCTACGAATTAACAAACATTAATCAAGATTCACCTGCGCACGTTCTCCATCATACTTGTATTTGCATCTAAAAACGGTGTCGTTGAACTGATTCAGTAACTGATCTACACTTTTAGTTTCTTTTACAAGCATTGGTTTGATTGGAACACCAAGTGTTAAGTTACAAGTCTTTGGAAGATCCCACACACCACCAGTTAGAAGGGCAAGAACAATAGTGTTGTAGCCAGGAAGCACACTATATACTTGTTTAACAATCTTCACAGCCTAAAAGGACAAAGGATGAGTGTATTGCAAGTCATGGAGCTCATAAAGAATGGACTTTGATACAAAATAAGCCAATGGATTAGGCTAGAAGCTGAAAACCATAGGACTTTCTGTTACTACAAGCCACAGGTCTGAAAGTTTCTATAATCCAACAAGTGATACAGTAAGCAACAACAAACAACAACAAAACAAATTTCAGAAACTGGACTTGCTTATTGCATAAACCTTATTCAGAAGCTGTTCAACTTGTGAATCGTTTCTATTAAAAGCTTTGGAGATTGCCTTGACAACGGAACTCTTAACGATTCCTGATTCAATGGGATACAATAAGTATCCCTAAGTGTATTTTTAGCGAGAACATCTGCTGGTTTGTTTGATTGTCATCTAACCCATAGTATTGGACTTCTTGAAACTATTGCTGCCAAAATCGAGCCTCGCGGATCCAATTATGAATTTCAAAGTTGAATTTGTTTCCTTGCATGCATGATGTCTATTAACTCTTTGCAATTCCCTTTAAAGATCATCTTCTTATATCCTTTGCACCAACAACTTTGCATAGCCAAATAAGGGCTTGACATTCGCTCTCCAATGCATTCAAAACATGTTTCTCTTTTACGTTCTTGTAACCTCCTTCTTCATCCCTTATTATCCATCCTGCTTGAGATTCCAAAATATCCTCAAAATACGATCTGTCAAAATTGCATTTCCACCATCCTGCTTGGGGTTGTAACCAATCTGTGTGCGAGTTATGTTTTGTATGCCGTACTTATACGGATCTGTTCCCATCTGTACTTGTAGACGAATTGCCTGCAAACTCCCATTCTGAAGCTTCAGTTCGTGAATACAACAAGTTCCTTGCCCAAGGTATAGATTGTCTCTGGAACGTTAGAATGTTTCTACTTTTCCAAATAAGCCATAGTATCATGTAGATTGTTATTTCCTGTCTAGATGAATAAATGAAAAAAATACTTAATAGCCCACTAATTTGATAAAACGATTGTAACTTAACCGGTTAATTATGGTTTATGAGCGTAAAAATGAAAAATTGGGAGACGCCCCCTAAGAAATAAACGCACAAATCAAAAACATTGCCATCACAAGTAGTCAAAAGTATAAAAAGGAAAGAAATCTTAGTAGTCAAAGGAAAAGATGGGAAATGTATTTTACATTTGCATAAAATTTCAATCTTTGGATGAAGAGGTACCAAAAGAAAAAGGAAAGAAATCTGACCTTTAGATTTCCCTTATCTTGATAAATTCTCTGTCTCTTGATGAAGGCTCATATAAACTCTAAAAGAGCCTCACACACCCGTAATCTATATTTTCGAGAGCCATAGATTTTTCTCAGTTTGTTAGTTTTTTGGTCGAGATTCAGGTTTTGACAATGGAAATCACGAACCAGATCGTAGAGGCAGCCACTCCTGCTGCGAGTGTCGTGGTCATGGACACCATGGATCAGATCGACGAAGCAACAAATGCTGCTGCTTGTGTTGTCGAGATGGAGACCATGGATCAGATCGACGAAGCAACAAATGCTGCTGCTTGTGTTGTCAAGATGGAGACCATGGATCACATCGACGAAGCAAGCAATCATGGTCCTATGGTTGTGGTGGGGGAGAGTTCGAACCAATCCGAAGAAGCAATCACTCACGGTGCTATGGTTGTGGTGGGGGAGAGTCCGAGCCAATCCGGAGAAGCAAGCAATCATGGTGATATGGTTGTGGTGGGGGAGAGTTCAAACCAATCCGGAGAAGCAAGCAATCACGGTGCTATGGTTGTGGTGGGGGAGAGTTCGAACCAATCCGGAGAAGCAATCACTCACGGTGCTATGGTTATGGTGGGGGAGAGTTCGAACCAATCCGGAGAAGCAAGCAATCACGGTGCTATGGTTGTGGTGGGGGAGAGTCCGAACCAGATCCGAGAAACAAATGGTGCTATTGTTCCTGTTGTTGCGGCAAGGATCGAAAATTATGGCACAG